CCTGGTGTCGAGACTTTGCCACTTCTGCCGTGCCCGCGCCTGCAACGCATAGAGACCGCACCCCCTGTGCACCCCCTCTTGTGTCCAGAAAATGCCGCGCGTGCCGTGCCCTCCGCGCCTGCCACGCATAGAGACCGCACCCCCTGCGCACCCTCCTGGTGTGGAGAAAGTGCCGCGCCTGCCGTGCCCTGCGCGCCTGCCACGCATAGAGACCGCACCCCCTGTTCACCCCCTCTGGTGTCGAGAATTCCCACGCCTGCCGTGCCCTGCGCGCCTGCAACGCATAGAGACCGCACCCCCTGCGCACCCTCCTGGTGTCGCGAAAATGCCGCGCCTGCCGTGCCCTGCGCGCCTGCAACGCATAGAGACCGCACCCCCTGTGCACCCCCTCTGGTGTCGAGAAAGTCCCACGCCTGCCGTGCCCTGCGCGCCTGCAACGCATAGAGACCGCACCCCCTGCGCACCCTCCTGGTGTCGAGAAAGAGCTGCGCCTGCCGTGCCCTGCGCGCCTGCAACGCATAGAGACCACACCCTCTGCGCACCCTCCTGGTGTAGAGAATTCCCACGCCTGCCGTGCCCTGCGCGCCTGCCACGCATAGGGACCGCACCCCTTGCGCACCCTCCTGGTGTGGAGAAGGAGCCGCGCCTGCCGTGCCCTGCGCGCCTGCAACGCATAGAGACCGCACCCCGTGTGCACCCCCTCTGGTGTCGAGAAAATGCCACGCCTGCCGCGCCCTGCGCGCCTGCAGCGCATAGAGACCGCACCCCCTGCGCACCCTCCTGGTGTCGAGAAAATGCAGCGCCTGCCGTGCCCTGCGCGCCTGCAACGCATAGAGACCGCACCCCCTGTGCACCCCCTCTTGTGTCGAAAATTCCCACGCCTGCCGTGCCCTGCGCGCCTGCAACGCATAGTGACCGCACCCTCTGCGCACCCTCCTGGTGTCGAGAGAGTGCCGCGCCTGCCGTGTTCTCCCTCTCCTTCTCTTCCAGCCGCGGGTGCAGCGCAGCAGGGAAGAGAAGGAGAGGGAGGAGAAGGAGGAGGAGACGCGGGTGTCACGCGGAAGGGAAGGAAACCAGAACCCCACGAAGCATGTGGGGAATAATCGACACATACTCAAGCATGATTCAAAAATGCTCAAAACCTGGTTTCCACTATTTTTGACAATGTTTTAATTTTCCGCCTGTAGAGGGACAGGCCCGACTCAACACTTGCCTTCGCTGTCTCTGCGGGCCTGAACTCTTTCTATCTCTCTCTCTCTATATCTCTCTCCCGCTCGCCCCTCCCTCTCCCTTCGCGCCCGGCCGTCCGCCCAAGACGGGTGCGGAGGGCCCCTTAGAGCCGACAGCACTGGCCCACGTGCTTCGGGTGCGGCGCGCTTGCCCGCCGGCCCGTGGACGGAACTCCACCCAGATTGTCCGATCTCTCTCTCTTTCTCTCTCACTCCCATGACCGCACATCGGCTCCTCTGAGTGGGGCCAGGCTGCTCCGTCGAAGTCTGCTGCCTGATGGATGGCCCGTGCTGCCTCAGGAGGAGAAGGAGGAGGAGGAGGAGGAGGGGGAGGAGAAGGAGGAAGGGGAGGATGAGGAGGAGGAGGAGGCCCCTGGGACGCGCACTCTTCCAAAAATGGGCCCCCTGCTGCAAGAGGTCTGGGTCTACATCGCGCGCCACCCCGTTTATCCTCCCAGCCCTCCATCCCATCCCACTCCCGGTCGACTCCCTCCTTCTCTTCCTATGGGAAAGAAGAATGGCATAAACATAAACATAAAAACTCTGAGGTCCGCGTGGATTTCTCGAATCGGCGCTGGACCCCTCTCCCTGGCGCGCGGAGCGCGACAAGAGCAGCGCCGGAGGCGCCGCCCCCGTCCAGCGTGGATCCGAGAACTCCGCGCGGACCTCCGAGTTTTCATGTTTATGCCATTTTCCGTTTCCCTACTCCTTTCTCTTCCATCTTCCCCTCCCCCGTTCCCCCGTTCCCCTTCCTTGCCTGCCTAGTCCACGGCCTCTGTCTTCACACGTCTCGAATTACCTGGCCTCCGCAGGCACATCATTTTGCCTCTGCGGCTTCCTTTTTTGTCCACCCGATAGAGGTTGGGACTGCTAGCCATCAAGAGCAAAAGCCGCCCGACAGCCCTGGGTATCGTGGCCGCCAACCACGGCCGCCTCGCGCCCGCAGTCCCGAGCCTCTCGAGATAGACACGACGTGACGCCGTGGAGCTCTCCGACCCCGTCGCTGGGACTGGTCTTTCGTCGCGGGTCGTTTTCTCGCCGAGGTCCCCCAAAACTAAACCCTGAGGCAGGGGCCCCAAACAGAACCTCTTGACTTCTTGGCGACGCTTGAGGCTCAAGGCACGAGACTGGGCCCGGATCTCTGCCGACCGCTTCTGTGCGAGCCCGCCCACACCAGCGCTGCCGCGAGGCCTCGGCCACCACCTCCAGCGGGCAGCGGTACTCAGGATCCTGGCGCATGGAGGCGCAAGGAGCAAAGTTGCGTGCGCACCAGCCGGCCAACATCGACCGACCCAAGAACAGCCGACGTACCTCGCCGTGCGGATGAGGGGCCCTGAGGTCCTGCGGAGCTTTCTCCTCGGCCACAGGACGGCCAAACGACGACTCGGGATGGAGAGCTTATTCAGGGAGCCCAGGGCATCCACGACCCTGCTGCGTCACGTCCTCTTCGCTTCACAGGCCGAAAGTCGGGGGCGTCCAAGAGGGGCGTCCGCAGAACATGGCCCTGGACCGTCTGTACACTATGCACACAGCGACCGTGGCAGAACCCATCCTGGACTCAGGATCGATGTCATGAACTTCCCGCCCTCGTGGGAAAGCACAAGCACCGATCTGGGGCGTCGGGCGCCTGCATTGATGCTCGGTGCAAGTGGATACACCACGGGCGCCCCGAGAGCCCTCGCACAGACGCTCAGTCGCGCGCACACGCGTACCAGACACTAATTTGCAAATTGCATTGTCACGTGCACTTGCGTCGAGCCAGGTGTGCACACGCGTACCAGACACTAATTTGCAAACTGCATTGTCGCGCGCACTTGCGTCGAACCAGGTATGTTGACGGGCACCCCGCGCGCCAAATGGAAGCTGGGAGCCGACGACGATGCCCGAAGTCATGGCGATTACCAAACCCCATCCTCAACGTCGTCGCCCTCGATACGTATCACGGGACCACTTGAATTCAAAACGCAAGTGGAGGTGCAACATAAGGTTCCTTACGACGCGACTAGAGGAGTCAACCGACCCTCCTCCTTCTCCCACATCATTATCCTGCCCCTCTTCCTCTCCCTCCCTAATCAACGTGCTGCTCCACCTCCTCGTCGCCGTATGTATCCCTCTTGAAATGTGGAGTGCTTCGCCTCTAGAAGATCGTCCAGGCTCAGCTTCAAACCAAAGTACAAGCCGAGGATCGTCAGAATGGACAGAGTGGCTCGACTTGAGGAGACCATCTCCTCATTCTCCCCTTCCATCCTCCGTCCTGCTCCTCGTCCTCCCCCTGTTTCTTCTTCCTCCTACTCTATTCCTCCAACGAGGTCAACAACACGCTGGCGAAGACGGAGACGACATGCCAGCCGGCGTTCTGAGAGCGGCGGCGCGCGCGGGTTCAAAGCGCGGTACGGCGCACGAATGCTATCGCAGCGCCCTGATTCACCTGGGGCGGGTCCGCAAACCCACTCGCGGCTGCAACTATCGCTCCGTCTCCACTGCGTCTGTCGCTGCCGTCGCAGTCGCTGCCGCGTCCACGAGTACGGTCTTCTAGGTCACGACATCCCAACGCAGGCATATACACAACAAGCTGTGCCATTCCTGCTGCCCCTTCTGATGTCGGGCTGTGCCTGCTGTAGCCGCGACCGCAGCTGTGGCCGCGGCGACGCCGCCGCCCCTGCTGCTTCAACCCCATTCACGCCCCTCCCTCCCCCGCCGCCTGTGGAGAAACCAAACGGTACCGATACCGCTACTCCCCAGACCTCCTCCCGGGGTTCGTTCTGACCCGGATTTCGAGGCGAATCCAGAGGTGGCGACGAGGGCCTCCCAGGAGGCCCAAGAAAGGCGAAAACGAGGGGAGGATAGAGGTATGGGTGCCTGTTCTTCCCCCGCAGTCTGTCTTCTTCTCTGCCTTCCCCCCCCCCTCCGCCCCACCTCCCCTCCCCGCCTTCATGACTGGAGGGGCACGGCCCCTACGCTACATTGACATTAGAGCCAATGCCCCGCGCGGGCAGTGGCCGCGCTGCTCGCCTAAGAACGCCCTGGGGGAGTGCCGTCGATCAGGCGCTGGCAACATCCCTGGCCTCGGGGTCGTGCAGAAGGGTAAGTTGCATATGGAATCTGATCCGCGGGCTAGAGATAGACAGATGTAGATCTGTGTGCTTAAAACCCGTGTGGAAACAGATGGCTTCGATAAGTAGCTCCGTGTCGTTTAGCATGATGTCAAAAAGCATCCCCTGCCGCGCTGGGCGGCTGCTGCGTGCGCGTGTGTGTTGGGACCCTCGATGACGGAGGCCACCCCGCGCCTCCGGCCCACGTGCGGCCCCCGCTGCTCTGGCCCTCCGGGCGAGGCGTGCGGCCAGTGTTAAGTCGGGCCTGTCCCCCTACAGGGGGATTTACGACGAAAAATAACAGATAGTCAACAAATACCCTAAGATACCCGAAAATGGTAAAAAAAAAAAAAAAAAAAAAAAATCGTCACCGTATTATTTTCTGGCTATTTTTGAACACTCCTCCTGTAGAGGGACAGGCCCGACTTGAGTCCAAACTCCAACAGGGGAGGGAGAACAAACCGCACTCCCAGAAATTGCATAAAAACTTCCCGCGCTCAGCGCGCGGAGCGCGCCGAGCGCCGACCCAAGCAACCCGCGTGGAGCACGACCATTTTGTGCTCATTCCGCTCCTCTTCTCCTCCTCCGATACAAGAGATTGTGGGGCCTCTTCGCCTTCGAACGCCCGCCCTTCCTCCCCGGACCTCCGATGCTTTGACCTCCTCAAGACGCGGAACCTTCTTTCCCTTTTTTTCGAAAACTGATCTCGTCGCTCGACGGGCCGCGCCAGCGAGGTCATCGGGTGAAACTCGGGCATTGCCAGAACTGGGTTTAGTGGGACCTGGTTCAGTGATGTGTACTGGAGGACGCCCCCTCCGCCCCGTTACACTAACCGCAACTGCTGTCACCCGAAAAACACCAGCCACGGCAGTCCTGGTTCAGTGATTTCGGCCAATGGAGGGGCTCCGGGGGCCTACTACTAAGCGGGTCCCCTTACCTTGGTCAGGGGGGCGTAAGACCCGGGTACAGGGGACTCGGAAATCCCCGACGAGGTCGTTAAAAAAATGACGAGGCCGAGCCTGCATTTTGACGAGGCCTCCCGCTGCAGACATCCCACGAAACTCCCACTCGTCAAAATCCGAATCGCGGTCGTCAAAAAACCATGGCGAACCCGAGTCCTGGCAAACCCGGGTCTTACGCTCCCCCGACTTGGGTCCTGGCTACACCCGAACCTTCTTTCCCTTTTTTCTAACCTGATCGTGAAGCATCCTACCCGTGCCGCGCGCGAGGTCCTGTGCGGAGGCCAATGCGACCAGGGTGCGCCGGGCGCCCAGGCGTGCGGCGGGCAGCTGACCCCGGCTCGGCGTGACGACCGACCGCTGCGCGCCTGGAGGCGGCGCGGCTGCGGCGCGAGGCCGGCGAGGTCATCGGGTGAAGCATCCTACCCGTGCCCAAGCGGTGCAGGGCAGAATAGGAGCCCGCGGCGGCAGAGGACCAGGGGCTGCGAGGCGCCTTCTGCACCGCCGCGTGGCCCGAGACTCCGCGCGAGGGACAGCACACCACACTGGACTTAGAATGGTCGAGCGTGTCCCTCTAGAGGTGGACTTTGGACGAAAAAGAACACATGAACAAATAGTCCAGAAATTGAATAGAAAAATCGTCTCCAGATTATGGTTGGACTATTCTTGAATATGCCTCCTGTTGAGGGACATGCCCGGATGAACACTGGCGGCAGCAGCTGAAAAGCAAGAGCCCTCAGCGTCGAGTGCGGCTGCCCGCCCGCCACCCCGCCATCACTCGCCGTTTCCCGGCGTCGCTACCTTGGCCCAACCTCTAAAGTCGCACCGCGGCCCACCGCAACAGGCGCCGGAGACACTCGCGGCAGCCCCTTCTGTCATGGCCGCCCGCCGCGGTGATTGACGCGCGCCAACAGAAAACTCCTCTGGGCCTGCAGTGGCATAGCAGAAGGGGCCGAGGATAAGGAGGGGGGCAGGAGGAGTAGGCATGGCAGGGGAAGGGGAGGGGCGCCCCTGCGCGCTGTGTCCCCGAGAACGGCCTGTTGGCTTGCTGCCCAGCCCGGAGCCCCCCGAGGCGGGGTGATCAGCAAGACTGATAGTCGATCAGGGGCATCCCACGATGCGGCATGAACCCGCACATGCAGAAAAATCTGGCCATCCCAACGAATATGCCTGGGAACTCCATGCACCCGTCTGGCCTCATGGACATCGTCCGCAGGGGCTCTCCTGCGCAGACCTCGTTCCCGTACACTACCGCGGAGAGGTTGGCGCCCGAGTTGCGCACATCACCCCCGCACGTGTAGACCACAGAGAGACCCCGGTCCCACAGCGCCGGCTGGCACTGATTGGCCCAGAGCCTCGCACCCTGCACCACTCGGGCGTCCCACTGCCCGTCCCACTGCTGGGCGCTGCCGCCCTGGTAGAGGAAAGAAAACTATGCACATGCACCGAATCTGGCCAGACCCATCCTGAGCCCATGATCGGTGCATACGCCCTCCTGCCTTGGCCAGGAAGGCATATGCACCGATCCTGGGTCAAGGATGGGCCTTGCCAGGATCGGTGCATGTGCATAATTCTCTTCGCCCGACCTGGCACCACTGGTGCGTGACGAACCACGCGGTCGGCTGCGCGGCGCGGGCCAGCATAGACTGCTCCGCAGCGGGCTGCACGTCGCCAGGCCGCGTGGAGCCCACCGTGCCGGAGCTCCCCTCGCCGGGCGCCGCGGAGGTCACCTCGCCGGGGCCCGCGCGCGAGCTCGGCAGCTGTGTCCCGACGTCCTTCGAAGCACGGGCCTGGAGCAGCGTCACGCCGCAGGGCTCGCCGCCGCCGGGAGCGGAACACTCGTCGTCCGCTGCGAGCGCGGGGTCGAGCTCCTGCTGCGGGAGGTCCTGCGCCAACGCCGAGGACGAGGAGACGAGTAGCAGAGACACGCGAAAGAGGGCCATCGGTGTTGCTTTTCGCAAGAATTTCCGCGAGCACGCCTGGCAGGGGGAGGGATGGCCCCCGTCGCCTGGCATGCTTGAACCAAAAGTATCCCTGCAAAGCAACCTAACAGCGATGTGTATAAGCATATCTGGAAACATTCCCCTAAGATTCAGGTGAGAATCCAGTTGTAGAATTCTGTTCTCGCAGTCGCAGTCGCATTCGCAATGACAGTCGCAGTGGCAACGGCCTTAGGATCCAATGGAATCCTAAGGATTCCAAGGGATTCCTAAGGCATCCTTAGGCATCCTTAGGAAGCTATAGGAATCCTTGGGAAACCTTAGGAATCCTTAGGAATCCTGATTCATAGGGATTCCTAAGGATTCCTAAGGATTCCTAGGAAATCCTAAGGATTCCTAAGGATTCCTGAGGATGCTTAACTATGCCTAAGGATTCCTAAGGATTCCTAGGGATTCCTAAGGATTCCTACGGATGCCTCAGCCTGCCTCAGCCTGCCTCAGCCTGCCTCAGCCTCAGCCTGCCTCGGCTTGCCTCAGCCTCAGCCTCAACCTGCCTCGGCCTCAGCCTCAGCCAGCCTCAGCCTCAGCCTCAGCCTGCCTCGGCCTCAGCCTGCGTCAGCCTCAGCCTCAGCCTGCCTCAGCCTCAGCCTGCGTCAGCCTCAGCCTCAGCCTCAGCCTCAGCCTGCCTCGGCTTGCCTCAGCCTCAGCCTCAGCCTGCCTCAGGCCTCAGCCTGCCTCAGGCCTCAGCCTGCCTCAGCCTCCCTCCCCCCCCCCTCAGCCCAGCCTCAGCAGCCTCAGCCTCAGCCTGCCTGCAGCCTCAGCCTCAGCCTCAGCCTCAGCCTGCCTCAGCCTCAGCCTGCCTCAGCCTCAGCCTGCCTCAGCCTGCCTCAGCCTGCAGCCTCAGCCTCAGCAGCCTCAGCCTCAGCCTCAGCCTCAGCCTCAGCCTCAGCCTGCCTCAGCCTCAGCCTCAGCCTCAGAGCCTTGCAGCCTCAGCCACAGCCTCAGCCTCAGCCAGCCTCAGCTTCAGCCTCAGCCTCAGCCTGCCTCGGCTTGCCTCAGCCTCAGCCTCAGCCTGCCTCGGCCTCAGCCTCATCCTCAGCCTGCCTCAGCCTCAGCGTTAGCCTCTCAGCCTCAGCCTGCATCAGCCTCAGCCTGCCTCAGCCTCAGTCTCAGCCTGCCTCAGCCTCAGCCTGTCTCGGCCTCAGCCTCAGCCTGCCTCGGCCTCAGCCTGCCTCAGCCTCAGTCTCAGCCTGCCTCAGCCTCAGCCTGCCTCAGCCTCAGCCTGCCTCGGCGTGCCTCAGCCTCAGCCTCAGCCTGCCTCGGCCTCAGCCTGCCTGGCCTCAGCCTGCCTCAGCTCGGGCATTCACTATATATATATATATGGCACAGGAATGGTGTTCTGGGAACATGGAGAACACGAAGTGGCCTACAGTTGGCTCCGGGCAATCAAACTATTGTGCAGGAGTGATGTCTGGGAACACGAAGAACACGACGTGGCCTACAGTTGGCTCCGGGCATTCAAAATGTGGCCTGGGAGTGGTGTTTGGGGAAGACGAAGATCACGAAGTGGTTTACAATTGGCTCCGGGCATTCAACATGTGGCCTGGGAATGGTGTTTTGGGACTGCGAAGAACACGAAGTGGCCTACAGTTGGCTCCGGGCATTCAAAAGGTGGCCTGGGAATTGTGTTCTGGGAACACGAAGAACACGAAGTGGCCTACAGTTGGCTCCGGGCATTCAAAATGTGGCCTGGGAATTGTGTTCTGGGAATGGATTCCTAAAGATTCCTGGGGCTGACCCTTTTGTCCGGATCTGTCTAGATCCCGCCCAGACCCCCTCTGGGCGTCAAGATGCTCTCTTTTGGGCCCACTAGAAGCCCATCAGTCTTCGCTATTAAGTAATGACTACGGTTCTCAAGACGCGGAACCCTGGGCTCTCGTCCCCTTCCCAAGAACGTTGCGTGTCCCTCGGGTGGATTTATCTCATCGTTCCGGGGCCCGAAGAAAGCACGGTGGGCAGACGTCACTTCACTGGGAGAACGCAAGGATCCGCCACCGCGCTTGCAGCGGTAGGTGTGTGAGTGTGTGTGTGTGTGTGTATGTATGTGTTTGTGTGTATATGGGTGCGTCGGGCCCTGTCGCTTCTTGCGAAGCAACAGTTCGGGCCCGGCGACGCATCGAGCCCAGGATATCTCACGATGCGTGCATTCTTATAACCAGGTCCCTGCGTTTTTGGCCTTCCAGGCAGAAATTGTGGATTACCCCTGTCCCCAGCCCTCGCCCGCCCCCCCCCAGCCCTCTCGCCCCCATGGCCACAACGGCCCAAAACTGCCCAAGATGGCCAAAAGAAGCCCCCAAGACGCTCCAGGAGAGCCCCGAGTCGCCGAACGATCGCGCCAAGATGGCCCCAAGACGGTCCCAGAAGCCTCCAAGACGCCGCCCCAAGAGGCCCCCTAAGAGGCCTCCCAAGAGGGCCCCGAGAGGCAAAATTTGCTTCATTCCCTGAGGAAGACGCTCGTTTTGCGCATATATGCCTGTTGAGCTTTCACAGCGCCCAAAGCGGCCCAAGAGGCCCCCAAGATCGCCACAAGACATCCCAAGAGTCCCGGAAGAGCGCACCATGAGGCCCCAAAGAGCGCTCCAAGACGGCCCAAGAGGGCTGTCGTGACGGGCCCAAGAGAGGACCCGGAGGGGGAAGAATGAAATTCCGACCCTTCGGTCCGAAGACGCCCCCACGAGGCTCCCAGAGGTCCTCAAGAGGCCCCGAGAGGGCCCCAAGAGGCACAAAGAGGCCCCCAAGAGGCCCCGAAGAAGCCCACAAACTGTCTCCAAGACGCGCCCGAGAGGCTTCCAAGATGCCTCCCAGACGCCCCCAAACTGCCTTCAAGATGCCTCCGAACTGCTTTTTGCGCAACGCAAGTGCTGTAGAACAATGTGTTGCTTCGTGGTTTCCATTGTTCAGCCGTCTTGGGGGTTCTCCACGAGCGCGCGCCCCAAAGATGTCGTACAACAGTTGTTGTCAACATCTCATAAGTTTGATGATGCCTCAAGCGAGAGCGTCATTTCGAACATCCGAGGATTCCGCCAGCGAGCTCAGAGACCCTGCCAAAGCCAGTTCATGATGATGGGCTGCCACGCGGGTCCGTCGTGCTGGTCAGTCAACCTAGCCTGCCGCCTGAGGCGTATGATTGGCCTAGTGGGCCGTCGAGGGCTCTGGGGGCTATCTTCGGTCTCTGGGAACCTCTTTGAGCTTGTTGAAGAACTGCTCGGAACCTGCTGGGAACCCCGTTGAGGACTCTTGAGCCCTCTCAGACTTCCAGGGCAAGCCTCGAGCCTGCGGGAGCTCTCCTGGACAACATGGAACACTCTGGCCCGCAGCTGCCCTTTCCTGCCTCGCCCCGTTGCTGCCTCGCCACGTCGCTTCCACAAGCGTGGTGGCGGATATGCGCGGCAACGCCACCGGATGGTTACCGATACCAAGCTTCCCAGGCCAGTGCAACCGTGGCGACGAGTGATACATAGCGGCATCGGTACAGTCGGACCTAGGCTTATGTTGCTCCCATCGTACTTGAGGACCAAGTCCCAGAAAAGTGTCGAAAGAGTGTCGAAAGAGTGTCGAAACATTGTCGGACGAGTGTCTCCGAGGGCCCGACACGTGAAAACCCTCGAATTTCGGTGTTTTTGCAGGTACTCGAAATTCTGGTGATCAAGGCTGAAGTAGGTTGGAACATTCTAAACCTAGGCCAGAAGAAAACATCCCTCACGAACACGAGATCCTCCGTCGGCTTCAACGAACAGACAATCCAAAGGTACACGTCGGTCGGAAGAAGTAGGTCGAAACATGAAGTAGGAAGGCGGATATAGTGGATTGGGTCCAGGTCCTCCCAGAGAATTGCAAAACACAGCAAAAGCATGTCGATTCTTGAAGTAGGAAGGCGCTTGAAGAAGACTGGGATCTGGGAATCCAAAAATGACAGGCGTGTACCCTCCCCAGGATGCACCAGGAGCCTCCGACAGGCACGAAGAACACCAGGGTGCCCTCCCCGAACCGACCTCGATCTTCATGCCTCGGTCCGGCGCTGCGCTGTTCTTCCTCTGGCTTTAATCTGCTGCTTCAAAACACTGGATATTCCAGGAGAAGAAACAGTGCCATCAGCATAAACTTTTGGCGCTCCGCGCAGATTTCTTGGATCTGCGCTGGAGCCCCCTCCCTGGCGCGCGGAGCGCGCCAGGGGCGGCGCTGGAGGCGCCGCCGTGGGGACCCAGCGAGGATCCACGAAATCCGCGCGGAACGCCAAAAGTTTATGTTAATGGCGCTTGTTCTTCTTCTTCGATCTTTGGGTCCGCTGCTTGGGTTACCTCCCGAGTCGGGAGCGGCCAAGAGGGGGGAGTCCAAGAGGGGGGGGGGGGGGCAAATCATGACCGGCGGCGTGTGCGCGGCCGAGCGGGGGGGCCAGGGACGTAATGAAATAAGAAGGCCCCCGCCATGATATCCCCCCCCCCTAGTCATCACCCCTCTCTTTGCCGCCCCCGACCGAGAGTCGGCTCCAGAACCCGCCCACGAGGCTCGGGCCGGCCAGGACTTCCCGGCGGGGAGCCCGGCCGTGTGTGGGGGGGGCGGGCACGGAGGGTGCAGCAGAGAACACGCCCACGGACCTCGGCCCACGACCCTCTGCGGCGTGAGAGAAGCGGTCCGTGGATGATTCGCAGCAGAAGAAGAAAGAACCACAGGAACGACTCCGTATCCCTGGCAAGGCTGGCCCTCGTACGTAAGCACCCCCACCTCCAAAAGGGTCAGGGGTCTGTCTGTTGCGATCGCAGGGGACACACAACATAAACGTACACTTTTGGCGCTCCGCGCGGATTTCCTGCATCCGCGCCTCTGTGGCGTGAAAGAAACGGTTATTGAATGATTCGCAATAGAAGGGGACACAACCACAAAAACAAAAAAAAAACCTAACCCTTTTGGGAGGGGGCGGCTAGCTTAGGAGGGCCAACATTGCTAGAGCTAAGGAGTCTTTCCTGCAGATGTAGCAAACCAGACCGCCTGGATCTATCATCCCCAATGCAAAGACGGGGGCGCAAGTGGGACCACGT